CTACATATCCATATATCCATGTGCACTGCCATTGCTTATTATTATATACTGATAGCTATTGATGCAAAAAAAATTCCGGAAATAAACATAAGTAAATGAAAACAACCTGAGTGAATAATAACTATACTTTTAAAAATTATTATTATTGTATAGCTTTTATTTATTTTATTAATATTTTATATCATTTTTTTATTAATTTTTATCACAATTATTATAGAGTTTTAATGAAAAAACGAACCAACCTTTTGAAAATGAAGGAGAAAAATATTTTTTTAACGTCGTAAAATAATTAATGTAATTTAATTAATGCAATTTAAAAAAATATAATGTTATGTGATGTGATCACAATTAATGTCACGAAAATTAGAAATGTAGTTATATTTATATATATTAAATTGATATACGGTGTATTTGGTGTGAAAAAATAGATAGGGCATCAGCAAAATGCAGTGTACAAAAACGAAACTTTACGTAAGGCAATGACTTAATGTAATACAAAGAAATGTAATATCGTAGAGGGATGTCATGTCATGTCATGTCATGTGATGTCACGTGATGTGGTGCGAAATATGACGTCACCCAACAAATTTTATAAAACAAACAAGCTATTCATCTCTTTATGTTGACAATTTATTCCAGGCTTAACGTCCATCCTATTGGACTGAACTCCCGTTAGGTTCTAGATTGTATGATAACGTTTGGTTGGGAGCACTGAATATATTCAAGCATCAATTGCCTACAAATGTATATCATATCGTGTATAAATGCGTATATATATATATATATATATATATGTGTGTGTGTGTGTGTGCGTGTATGCGTGCGTGCGTGTGTGTGCGTGGGTGTATAAAATATACACAAAGAATACATATATAAATAGATATATATACAATACATGACCAAAATATTTCAATGAAACGTCGAAGCCTCCATAAAAAGGTTGTCTTTTTCACCTGGTGCGTTTGTATGTATGTATGTATGTATGTATGTATGTATGTATGTATGTATGTATGTATGTATGTATGCATGCATGCATGTTTGTATGTATGTTTGTTTGTTTGTATGTATGTTTGTTCGTTTGTATGTATGTATGTTTTTTTGTTTGTTTGTTTGTATGTATGTATGTATTTATGATGTATATATGTTCGTTCGTTTGTTTTTATGTTTGTGAATGTATCTTTCTACATATGTAAAGATGAAAAAAAAGAGAAAAAGAGAGAAGAGAGAGAGGGAGAAAGAGAGAGGGAGAGAGAGGAACAGAGAGAAACAGACAGACAGAAATTTGTTATAAAGATTTTTTAATTCATCAAGAACTGTCACCTTTCGTTCTTTACACGCATGACATTTCTCTCAGTCTTGCACACACACACACACACACACAAAATACACACACACACTCACACAATACACACACACACACAACTACACACATAAATACGCACACCACACAAACAAACACACACACACATACATACACACATGCATACCGCAGGTACCACTAATTGAATATAAAACACCATTACATGCCACAGAAGTTCACATACCAGCACATACACACATACATACACATACTCAAACTTCTCTTAAAAACTTCTCAGATACATGTACATGTACACATACAAAACACGTACTCTAGAGCAAATAGACCAATCCAAGCGCAACAGGTATGATGATAAATTTCTATTATTTCCTTCCCAACAAGCACATACACATACAAACAAACAGACACACACATACCTTCACACAATCCATCTTCATCCTTATTGTCGGGGTAATTTCAAAAGTGCATGTATGTATGCACTCATTTTTACTTTGCTGTTTAATTATGATTTCTATTTTTCAATTTTTAAAGCAAGTTTCAGAAGAAGATATAGCCGTGCAACAATGAAAAAAAACAGTATTTTATAACAAACTGTAGAAAAAAGCATGATCGAAATTTAAAATCCTACATTTGTTTTAAATCTTTTCAACTGATACCACCACGGCAAATTTGTCTCTACTTGTTTGTTGAAACTTCCTTTTAAAATTCTTTCTTTAGCCACTCGTTAAGTTTAATATGTCTTTCAACTTTTCGAGCAAACTCTTCAACAGGAATCATCAACGATCGTTTTTCTGAGTGACACGTCAACAGCGCTCTAAATCTAAAATGACAGCCGGAAAACTATTCATAAAACTATTCATCTTCTATCATGCTGTTGTTCATAAAAAGAAATTGGCGATTGCTTGGATCTTAAGTTTTGTTCTGCTAAGAAGACTTCAAATATAAACTGCACGCGGATTTATTATGCCAGTATTTGTTGGAGTTGGACTAAAATCGCAGTCAGGATTCACGATCATATGGCTAAATTTTGAAATTTGAACTGTTTATTTTATTTTTCGTGATTAACAAACACTTTTACTCTTCCTTTCTCTTTCTTTTTACTCCCTCCTCTGTTTAACCATCTGTATCTCTCTCTCTCTCTCTTTCTCACCTTATAGCTTCTTACCTATTACACTATCTCTCTCTCTCACCCTATTCTTTTTCTTCCTTTTTTTCTTCCTCCTCTATTTAACTCTCCATATTTTTCTCTCTTTTGCCTTATGGCTATATGGCTATTTTCCTCTCTCTCTTTCTCTCTCTCTCTCTCTATCTTCTCTTACCCTTTCCATCTTTTTTCTCTCTTTCTCTCAGTTTTTTACACTGTAGTACAACACAAACAATAACAATTTGCATCAAATTAGTTACTAGAGCTAACAAAAAAAATTGAGGAATGGTAGAAGGAAACGCATTGAAATGTTTTCTTGGTATTTTATAGGAAGTGTGGTTGGTTAGTTGGTTGATTGGTTGGTTAGTTGATTGATTGGTTAGTTGGCTGATTGGTTAGTTAGTTGGTTGGATGGTTGATTGATTGGTTAGTTAGTTGGTTGTTTAGATGATTGATTGGTTAGTTAATTGATTGATTGTTTAGTTAGTTGGTTGAATAGTTGGTTGATTGGTTGTTTAGTTGGAATGACAGGGTATTTCAACTTTTACACTTTCTTGCGAAACGGCTCAATGTAATTTCGGGATATTTTTCATTAATTTAAGCTGCAGGAGCTGTTGTAAAATAATAATAACAATAATAATAATAACGCGCCATTTAATACAGCGCCCTATGCACAGCGTCATATAGACATAACCCAAAACAACACATAAAAATTTTATTAGTTTTATCGACAAAATTCATCACAGTTTAAAATCGTACGTATGTACTATTAACAAATATATATGCACGCACACACACACACACATATATATATATGTATATATATATAAATATATATACAACGCAAGCAAACAGACGATATACTTTTTATCGATTTTAGCCCAACTTTCAAAAACATAACCAAGTAGCACAGGCATGTCGGTTATGAGTTAGTCAGTCATCATCACATTCATCATTGTTTGTTATAGGAAGTAGGTATAGTCCTTAGGAGGTCAGAAGTATTTGCTTTATCGATTTTTACAGCAAAAAAAAGTGAAACATGCCTCAAGTCAGCCGCTGTGAGATGATTATATGAATTTTTATTTTCATTTTGTCAATCAAATTTTTTAAATTCTCTTTTTATGGATAGGTTCGACAAGATTCAAGTGGATCTGTAGTTAGGCCTGCTTAACATTTTATCCATCATGTTTTCGCAGTAAGAAGAGCAAACCGATTAAGATAATTATTATGACGGCATTAAATCAGGATTTGATAATAAATAATTAAAATAGAAAGTTTTTAAATTGGATAGAGAGCGAGGGGGAGAGAAAGAGAGGGAGAGAGAAAGGAGGAAGATATATATGAAAATCTGAATTGGAAAATAAACAGATGATTAAGTGATAGAGAGGAGAGAGGAACATCGAAATGAAATAGATAAGGAGAGAAGGAGGAAAGAAAGATAAATAGACAAACATTCATCCCAACGGTGGCCCACAGAAGAATCATAAGATCATATCTTACCGCGGAACTAAAGAGAAACTATTCCAGTGTTTCATTCGTTCATTTCCAATGTGGTTGGTGTATGCGTTCAATCGTTAGTAACATGGTGGCGAACGTAATGCATGTAGTGTGTACTGCAGCGTACACGCGTGCAGATATATATCAATACAATTAGACATGCACACATACACACACACACACACACCCAAACAAACAAACACATGCACACACACGTTTAGCGTTTTTATGATTATATAAAATAACAATGGACAAATATACACGAAGCAATTGCTTGCGTGAAACGTCTTTCCTGTTCTGCTTGCGTTACAGTGCAGAAAGACACCACGTTGACAATGATTGCAAATGTTCATGTACAGATAAGTGGTCGCACGTAGTTGCAGTTGTAACGTGACTTTGTATTTGACGCACAAATAACGTCAAATGCGGAGTAAAACAAAGGATATTAATTTAAAAAATCTGTACACATGAAACAATTATATGAATTAATAATATAAATTTAAACAAGAAAATTATTTGTAGAAAACTAATATAATATGCAGTAGTCAGTTCGTACAAGCACCTAGAACTCTATCGTCGCCGCAACGTAATTACAAACATGTAAGCTCTACATAATTTTTCGTCTTGAAGCTACACACCCACGCAAAAATACACACACACACCACACAGAATTTACAGATGCTTTCACACAGATAAATATATAATCAGACGACAATAAGCGTCAAACAAAAAGGAATAAATAGAATATATAAATAACTAGTATACAGTTAAACAATGAAACAAGATGTTGATCATACGCAGAAACATTGGAAACGATGCCGACAACGCACCTCCATAGAAAACTGTTCGATTCAAAACAATTGGGGAAAAAAATCAAGCGAGTTATTTCATTTTTAGTAGGTCAGATTCAGTTTTTTTTCGATTTAGTAGTTAAACGTTTTGGGCGATACATGGGGATTAGCATCTACACTGATTTTTAAATCAACTCTTTTAAATGCACGCTATACTTTTTAAAATGCGAAATCCAGACGCACCCAGCACAATCAAGCCAATTATATATTTCATTTCCAAACATTTTCTTGTAAGCGTAATAATAATAATAATAATCGAACATCATCATTCGAAAGATGTTTGTTAACTTCTCAATTAGTTTTGAAAAAATGTGTCAATAGAAACATAAAACGCATCGGCGAGCGACAAAGTTTAATTCGAAAAACTCATCATCAGTTGCCAAAAAACTTTCGTGTTTATTCATCGCATTGAAAATCAGATTTTAAAAGTTTTGATGAAAAAAAAATTCTTCAAATCTTCATAAATTCATCAGCAACTTAAAACCGAGGTCTGCGTATGGACGACGGCATGGAAAAAGATGGAAAGATGGGTTGATGAGGAGGAGCTGGTAACCTGCTAATCGGCCCCCTGAACATGGGCTGAGGGGGGCCTCGAAGCAATGGTGCCCTTGGTACCCTCATCAAGATATCTACCGCTCTTGTGGCAATGGCGCTTACGTTGCTGGGACTGAGAAAATTCAACGGAACGCGAGGTGACGGTGAGGGCCCTCTGCTAGGATTGGAAGGAATATCTGGCGGTTGAGTCATGCTAGCGTTCTTTATCCCGCCAAATTGCTTTTGTATGAAAGACGGTCGGGTGTTGAGAGGAGGGTTTGAATTGACAACTGCCAGAGGTGCAGTGAATGTAATTGCATCTGGAAAGTCCTCCAGGTCAGATGAATCACTGCTGTTGTAATTTGTGTCTGGCAATCCGGTTGAATCTGGTTCCTGCGCAGGTATGATGCTTCGATTTTCGAGCTGCAACGAAGACGATGACGTTTTCATGGTAGTCGACGAAGAATCTGGAAGAGTCTTTGTGTTGTTGATGACGTCATTGACACAAGTGGTCACCAGTGGCATGGGATTAGATACCAACGTGGCTGTTGTCGTTGCCGCGGTTGAAAGTGATGGCATGCTGTTGCCAGCGGAAGTAAGAACTGCACCAGCAGCAGAAAAAATCAATGGAACATTAGCAACAGCCGTGCAGACAGTTGTGGCAGCTTTCGGAGGCGCAGCACGAGAAATAATTGTGTTGGTGAAGGTTGGATTGAAAGTAGATGTAGCAGATGTAGAGGTAGATACTATCCCAGGTCTAACACCAATGTAGCCAGACTGTAAATTAATGCTGCTTTTGCCTGGTGCTGCAATGTTGCTTTTGTTATTTGACAGCAAGACTAGGTTAGAAGAAGAAATAAATGTTTGTTGTTGTTGTTGCTGCGGTGACGGTTTGATTGCTGTTAGGGTGCCGGAGTTGTTGTTGATCAGCGGTTGCACGACGCCTTTATTAACCTTCTGCCTTTCAATCTCGCTGTAGCTGAGAGACTTGCTCACGGATCTACTGCTGTAGACACAGCTGCTGAACATACTGGGGTTGAGGGCCTTGCAGTAGACAGTGCCACTTTTACGTAGCACATCCCCACTGCCGTACAAATTAACTCCCTCCTCATAATTCAGTGCATCATCCGGTTCCGTGAGAGTGATGGTCGTCAGATTGGAGGGTCTCTTGATCATGGCGGGCATAGTTGGAGGAGGCCTAACTGACAGATCTGAAGCCAACTTTAAACCAACTTTCATAACGGGATCAGCTGGTAGATAAGTGGATGACGACGAAGAGGACAATGGCGATATCACGCTGATGGAATTTGAAGCAAATGAGTAGGGCGATGGTTGTGGAGGTTGTGGAACTGTTACCTCGTGCTTCAGTTGAGGTGGTGCATAAAATGGGGCGGGTACAAAAGCTTGAGGAAGAGGTGGGGGTGGTTGCTGAGTGAAAACAAATGGTGGAGGGGGCAGATTGGTTCGAGGAGGGATGGCTGGTGGAGGAAGAGAAGGAGGAGGAAGCGAGTACGGTTGCTGTTGTTGTTGTTGCTGGACGATAACTTGCTGGTGATGAAGTTGAGGTGCCTGTTGAACTGGTGGTGGTACATTGATGGGCACGTACTGTTGTACTGGTTGCACTACTGGTTGCTGAGGCTGAAGAATCATTTGAGGTTGCGGTTGCTGCGGATGAACAGTCAGTGGCAGAGCAAACTGTTGCTGCTGTTGCAGTTGTTGTTGCTGGGGCAGGTGACTGGGAATGAGAACGACGTTGTTGTCACTTTTGATGATAGAGTGATACAAGTACCTATCTCCATACAAGTTGTCAGTCGAGCTGGCGACAATTATATTTCCGGGATTGTTGCTGCTGCCTCCTTGGAATAAATGTTGAGCCTGTGGTTGTGGCTGTTGTTGCATGGGCAGCTGACCAATCTGCTGCAACTGACCAACAGAATCATCTTCCTCAGTGAATAGATAAACAACTTCTTCATACATGTACTGGGAATTATCGACGTTGGATGGCACAGCTTGAAGTTGAGAAATACCATCTTGTGTATTTACTGCTTGATAGACCCCTTGATTAGTGATGATGTTCGAGGATGATGAAACACTGATCGGTAACTGCTGGGTGTAATATGGAAAAGGTATGGATGATGTTGCACTGACCAGAGAATGACCATCCGTGGAAAATATGATCGACTGATTTGTGACGGAAGTTGAAGCTGTGGTAACTCGGACAGGTGGAGGTGGCGGTGGTGACCTGTCGTCATCGTCGTCACCGTCATACTTCCCGCTATCCTCTCTGTGTCTGCTCTCATCTTTCCTCGATTTGTGCTTCGAAGTTTCTTTCTCTTTGTACCTTTCATTTGATTTCAATTCATCAGTTCGTCGTGAATATCTACTCTCGCTATCCCTCTTATCTCTACTCTTATGGCGGTGATGGTTGTGATGATGACCGTAATCATCATCGTTGGCGTCGTAATCATCGCGTCGTTTATATTCTTTAGCGTCATCGTGCTTTTGATGTTTGCTTTTATTGCGATGGTGGTGGTGGACGCTGTGGTCGCTGCTAGCCTCATCATCGAAGGATGCTTTGTTTCTACCTTTCAAAATTTTTCCAGACGCTTTCGTGAAATTGAGGAATAACTCCTCAAGTCTCGACTGGTGGTGACTCTTGCTTTCCGGTTTCGAGGAAGAGGATGGCGCTACCATCAAGTTAGATGAAGTCATGGTCAGTAGAGATGATGAGGTAGAGGATGACTGAGTTGGCGAGTGTTCATCAAGCACAGGTGTGGCCCTACCATCATATTCCATGTCTCTTGTCATGTTGTTGTTGTTGCTGCTGCTACTGTTGGTGTTGGTGTTGTTTATGCTTTGTTTATACTCCATGTCGAGTTCGTATCCAGTTAATGAAGTCGAAAATTTCAAGTTTTTAGCCGCTGGTGGTTCACTGCCTTCTTCGAAATTTGATGACAATCCGCCCATCTCTGAAGAAGAATGACAACAAAATTTTTATTTTACTCATCAGTATGAGATTCATTTGAAGAAAACCACAATAAAAAATTTATTACGTAAACAATGAAAATAATAAAAATACAAAACTAGCCAATCATCTTCAGTCTTTCATCAAGACTAGCACGTCTTCTAACTGCGGCTCCACCCCTCTTGTCATCTCGTTTCTCATTGGTCGCAAATTTTAAGTCATCATCATCGTTATTATCATTCATCTCTCCGGTAAATAGCTGATTAAACAAAAGATCATCATCGTCATTTTCTATCTCTTTGCCAATGTCCATGATATCTTCATCATTAATGATTAAATGATGGGATGTTGGCTTCGTCATCTTGTCGCCATAGACTGCACCGCTACAATATGATGACGCTGTTGCGCTAGCTACATTCAAATTGTTATTATCCTTGTCCAAGACAGCAGAGCCACTGTTTATTAACTTGACTTCATAATTCACATCACCGGTGGCGATTTCATTTCTCATTTCTTTGTCACGCCCAACATCATCCAAGTAGTAGTTAACATGATTATTATCGTCCTCTTCGTCGTCTTCATCGTCATCTTTCGACTGCTCTGATAACATGAGTAACTGCCTTCTCTCCTGTAATTTCTTACTCAAAGTTTGAACTCTTGAACCGAAGTTTTTGTAAGCCTGAAAGAAAATGAAATGTTTCTTTAAACTGTTTTGGAAGTCATTTAAAAAAGTTATTAAACAAAAAAAGAAATAACATAAAATAAATTAATAAATCTACTGAAAAATAAATTTTGAATGAAAAAATCATATCAGCATCACATCATAGGCTTAATAAAATTAAAAATATAAGCAATAATGTTACTTGAATAAAAAAAATTTTCTCTAGTGACCAAAAAACAAACGAACAAATAAATAAAAAAAAAATATACACAAAAAAATACAAACCAATCGATTAATTCATTAAAAAATCAGCCAATTAATTAACTCAATTAAACCAATCAACGACGAAAATTTTTTAAATCTAACAGAAGCCACAAGTTTTGCGTCTTTATTTTGCTCCTTGTACACTGACAGAGCCAACTCCACATGACTTATCAACAGACTTTTCTCCTTAATTTGATCTGACAACTGACTGCTAGCCTGGCATATGGAGTTGATTTCATCAGATTTATTCATCAGGTAGGATTTCTGTTTCTCCAGATCTACAATAAAAGAGGTAGGTAATGAAAACTTTGTAATTGTGTGTGTGTCTGTGCGTGTCTTTGTGTGTGCGTAGGCGTCTTTGTGTGTGCGCGCGTGCGTCTTTGTGTGTGTGTGTGTGCGTCTTTGTGTGTGTGTGTCTTTGTATGTGTATGTGCGTCTTTGGGTGTTTCTTTGTGTGTGTTATATTAACTGAAATTACATTATTCAGTTGTTCAAGAATTAATGTCGTTAGTTGTATAATATAAACTGGAGAGATGTACATTTATGGATGAGGAAACAATTTTGTGACTAAATTCAATGAATAATTTCATTGCAAGAACAATGTATAACATCACCAAACTATTCAATGCAACTGAACAAACGCTAAAAAGTTGATGACGAAACTTTAATTAACCAAATTTTTTTTGTGTTGAGTTTGTGATCACGTTTTTCAACTACAAAAATTGTAATTAAAATTTTAATCAAGACAATGAATGGAAACATGGCGTTGACAAAAAAAAAAAATAAAATCACCACACCATTTTCACTGGTAACTTCATCAATGTTGTATAAATATTGGGAGGATTTCTCTAGAGTAGCGTTCAGTTTGACACTATGTTTTGAATCCTGGCTCATCATCTTTATTAATTTTTTGAACTGTGAAATTTTTTTTTGTATTCAAATGAGAAATCACTCACAACCTAAATTTGATTTTATTGAACATTGAAACAAACAAGTAATAAAGTAAGTGATCAAATAGGTTGAAAAAAAACAAATAATGAACGAAATTGACAAACTACATCAAAATCAGATGTCGCTAATGCTAGTTTCTTAGATCTAGAGATTGTCGTTGTTGTTGTTGTTGTGGTCATTTTACTGACATTAACACCATTATCATTCTCATTGCTGTTGTTGGTGCTTCCATCATCATCATTATTACTTTTATTATTATTATTATTTTCTTGTGACTTTGACATTTTGCTGTCACTAAGTTTACTCTTGAGTTGTTTATCATTGCTAGTTTTTGAAGATGAGTTACCTGTTATGGAGCAATTATTTTATTGTAAAATTATTATTATTATCATTATTATTAAATATTTTTCTATAATTATGAATTTGTTGCAAGAAATTTTAATGAAAAGCCTAATTGCAATATATTAAATTAAACAAAAAACTATCATATAGTGATAAAAAGTATGTGGTGGTGATAACTGCTAAGTAAATGTGAAGTTTCATCATTTAGGTAATGATTTCAAGTTAGTCAAAGCCAATACAAACTTTTTTGAAAAAGATTAATTTCAAATGCTGGAACGATGAAAAACATTTTTTGAAAACTTAAAATTTTTCGGCTATTGAGAAATTTTGAAATGTCAAATGTGTCTTCATCGGCAAGAAAATAAATAAATAGATAATAAAAACAGCCACACTACCAATAAATAACTTGAAATGTAAATGGTAATTTTATTTTAAATGAAAATTCTTTACTAATGGATTGAAAATTACTATTGTAATGAAAAAAGGCTTCTGTAAAAAAAAGGTTTTTTTCATAAAAAAAAATGTTACTGACCAAACGCTAATGAATTTAATTCCTCAACATACTTCTCGTCAAAAACATTTCTCTCTGACCAAACTTTTAGAATTTTCTTAAAGGAGTTGATCGCCTTCTCAGCTCTGCAAGTTTAACATAATATAATATGATATTATAATATAATAATATTAATATAATAAAATATTTATACAGTCGAATGATACATGTTATTTCGATTATGTGAGATAATTATTATTATTATTATTATTATTATTATGAGAAAAAAGATAATATAATGTAGTTTAATTTAGTATAAAATAATATTCAATTATATGCAATGAGAATAAAAACAAATAATTCTACAAAAATGGTTGGTAATAGTATAACTGTTAACCCAAAACCACAACTCTAATACAATGTATAAAACAACAATAAACCAACACATAAGACAGAAATGTATGTATGAATGACAGTGCTTTAGTTTAAACTAAGTAAACTAGTTCTACAAGTTCTAATTTACAATTATAATAATAGAAGCAATGATAAAAATGCTTAAATAAATAAGTATTAAGTCAGCAAATGTTATTTTACTCAAGTTTTGTTTTTCAGTACCTATATTTAATTAATCTACTATACATGGTATAAAAATATATATATATATATACAGTTAAGTGATGCATATTGTTTCTATTATGTGATTTTCAAATATTGAATCCATATATAAATATATAAATTGCCAGAACAAATTAACAGTAAATTGAGTTGTAACATTATCATTATCTTACAATTTAAAGTGATAAAACAGAGAGACAACAAGCTTTTAATAATTAATTATTCTGAAGATAATTTCATTATTTTTAAATTCAATTAATGATAGAATCTTTTATATTCAAGGAATATTCAAAAAGGAGGTTTTTTTTACAAAGAAATGTAAGACTATTTTTAGTTACTCAACAAAAAGTTACTGATATAAAATAAAAAAAAAATTAAAAACTATTTAATGAGTTTTTCATCCGTATAAAATAAAACATAACCATAACAAAATCTATATGTATCTATAGAACTTATAACTTATAACACATACTTAATGAAATGAACAGCTTCCACCAGAGCCTTCTTAAAACTTTCTTTGAACATAACGGCATTCCTTCTTTTGCATGTTTGTAGGATGTCGTTGCATAAATATATCAGCACCACCATTTGACTTTCATCAGCTAGACAGTGCAATGAGCAAAGATTTGATTGATTTATTTATTTTATTATAATTATTTATTAATATATGTTTCTCATTCTTATTGATTGTATGTATATTTTATTATATTGTAAGGTATTATATATTAGGACATAAAATAAATAAAATTTATATTTAAATTTAATAATGCCACAAAAATTAAAAAGAATTACTATTACAAAACAAACACATATTAAAATTAAAATAATCAAAAAATAATCAAAAATAGAATACAACAAAAAATTAATTTCCCTCACTTTTGAAAATGATTCACTAACCTGACTTGAAGACCTTGAGCCAGATGTTGACGATCTGCTCGTGCTCGCTCTTGTGATTGAGGGCCCAGAGCGATAACGTCTGCACACATTCTGTGCTGTCATTGGCTGATCTCAACTTGCTCTCTACCCAACTCTCATCAATCTTTTTAGGCGAAACACCCGAAGTCATATTTTGATGGAATTTTCAACAAACTTACTTATTACTTTGGTTACTGTTATCTCGGACTAAATTTGAAAACAAAATAGATTAGAAAAGCATCATTTTAATGAAAACTAAATGCTAATTAAGAAGAAAAGTGAAACTAAGTTATAAAAACTAAAATCGAAGAAACTTAAGACAAGCACCGGTTTTGGCTGGGTAAATACAAAATCTGTTTTAAAGATTTCCGTTTAATTTGTTAATTAAATTTTGTGAAAAAAAATAAATATTTGATTTATTTAATTAATGCTTTTATTTAATTGTTTGGCTATTATTTCCATTGCTTTAAAATAAAAATATACATAGATACAAGGGGAGGCCCAAGGGGAGGCCTATTTACCAGCATAAAACACATTCTTATGGGTTGAAGCAGGGATATGCAAAGAACCTCAATTTTTTCAACTTTTAATTATTTTCAGTAATGTCTCCCCTTGCTCCAAACCACATAACTAGAATAATAGGACTAATCGATCAATTCGATCTATCGGTCGGGCTATTTGTCGTGCTTGGATTGTTGGCTTACGAAATTGCATGGATTTTAACGAGCAAGTTAAATGAAATATTTACTTGGTTTAATATGCTTAAAACATTGTAGTAATTCTATTTAATTTTAATAATGATTAATAGAATTATGTATTATTAAATTATTTTTGTTAATTTGAATATAAAAATTGCTTTTGGTCCGGTGAAACCCGGTGGCTTACTGAAGCCGAAGGTTGGCTTAGTAGGATTGAACTATAGTCACCCTTTTTTTTACACTATTCGATCATGTTAAAAATTGGTTTGCTTATGAAATAAACGGCCTAAATAAATCAAAATTGTTATTTTAACAACTATCTTCATTATATTCAATGGATATTTTACATTCTGCTGGTGCTCATAAGAAACTGGCTGCTGAAATCATACGTTGGCTTACAGCAGTGGCTTACAGGGTTTCATAGACCTCTTACGATAGCACTTTTTTGTACATATAATGCTTTAAATAAATCAATATATTCATATCACAATTATTTTTGTCAGTATAAATATAGAAATTGCTTTTGTCAGGTGAAAAACAGTGGCTTACTGAAGCCGTAGGTTGGCTTAATCGGATTTTTTCTCATGTATACAATACTATGAGATAAATCAATCAAACAATCAGTCAGTCGGTCGGTCGGTCAGTCAGTCAGTCAGCCAGCCAGTCAGCCAGTCTGTCAGTCAATCAATCAACCAACCGATCAATCAACCGATCAATCAATCAACTAAATTGAATGAACCAAATAAACAAAAATAAAAACAAAAATAAATAAAAAAAATTTGCAAGGCCTGTTCAAACTCGAACAAACAGTTAACCGTACAGATCTACAAACAATTTCGAGATTCTAGTAAAGAAAGAAAAACACAGTAGTTGCTTTTATTTGAATTCATTCAAGAATGAAAAGTGACGGTTAATTAAAATTTTAAAACGTAAATTTTTTTTTAAATTCGTGTTTTAAATAAACAAATATAACAAAATATCGACCGATAAAAATAATTATTATCCATTATTATTATTATCATACACACTCCTTAGAAGTTCTCGAAGGATAATAAACCACGTAACAAGAACATTTAGTAAGAACAGTTCACAACATATCATAATGACTAAATCAACATACTAAACAGAAATAATTTATACATGCATATATACAAAGTAAATCAAGAAATATCCAAAAATTATATAACCAATTTAAAAAAAAACTAGAAACCAGTCAACATTTAATGAATAAATAAATAGACATTATTAAAAAGATTGTTCAAAAAGGTACAATTTAAGGCGACGACGAGAATGAAATGTAGTTTGTTTTGTTGGTGTGGTGTTGTGAAGCGAAAACAAACACATCACACAAAACTAGTAAGAAGTCGCAAGAATAATAGTCAGTCACCTACCTATAATAAAATTACTCTCAGGGCCCTAGCTTACTTATAAACATTGACTCAACTCACTTACCTATAAATTTGTATTTCTCGTTTTAGATGTTTCAAGTATTTTATTTAACATATTTTAGCGTTTTTATTTTACTTGAAGCTTTTTAACTAATGTTAAGCCCTAGCCTACCTACAATTGTTTAACTCATCTCAGTCCCTAACTTACCTATGAATTAAATTAAAGCCCGGTTCACGGTAAAGAAAATATAAAGTTGAAGAGAAACATAGCAACAACGACACCGAATGAATGGATGTTGTGTATGTATGTGTTGTATTGATGTGTGTGTATGTAAATGTGCGGGCGCGCACTCTCCAGAAACTTCACTCACTACCGACGAACCTCCATTGCACCGACCATCATCTGACACGCATCGATGGAATGAATTTGACCGGATACTGAAAAATAAATTGAAAAAAAAAATTCACTAAAATAAAAAACAAGCAATTGGAAAAAATAGGCAACTTATCTTTTTGAGATAACACCCAATCTTTGTTCAAATTCGAGTACTTTCAAAGGTACAATGAGACAAAAACAAATTTACCTTTAACATTATCTTCGATTTGTCATCGGAATGATCATCACGAGACCACCATCTGAAAAGTGCTGACGCCCACCACAGCCCACCTCTTATCAGTCTGTAGACAAGTTTTTATTAATTAGCGAAGTAGTAAATCAAGAAACAAAGGAACGAACGATTAAATGATTAACTGAATGATTGAACGATTGGTTGAATGAATAAATTAACTAATTAATTAATCGACCAATGATTTAATGAATGAATAGAATGAATCAATGAATAAATTAACTGAGGAATAATTTGAAAGATAGTGATAAAATGAATCAATGAATGAGAAAAATAAAAAAAAAGAAACTAAATCATACTTCAAAAACCGTCGTCGTTGTTATCTTCGAATTGTCATCGGAACGATCATCATGAGACCTCCATCTGAAACGTGCTGATGCCCACCACAGCCCACCTCTCATCATTCTGTAGACATTTTTTAATAGCGTATTAGTAAATCAAGGAACAAAGGAACGATTGAATAAATGATTAACTGAATGATTGAATAATTGGTTGAATGAATGAGTGAATGAATGAATTAATTAATAAATCAATGATTCAATTAATGAATAGAATGAATTAACGAATCAATTAATAGAAGAATAATTTAAAAGGTTGAGTGATAAAATGAACGAATGAGAAAACTAAAAAACGAAACTAAACCTTACTTCAAAAATCGTCGTTACTGTACTTTCCATTGCACCGACCACCACCATCTGGTCGGCACACAAAATACCGTCCGAACTTCAGAGAGTCAGTCGAACAGCCAACGAGCTGATTCTTCCTACACCACCATCATCATATGTAAATCATCATGAGACCACCATCTAAAACGTGCTGACTCCCACCACTGCCCACCTCTCATCATTCTGTAAACATAATTTTTTTATTTGCGTAATAGTAAATGAATGTTAGAATCTTAGAAGCAAAAAAAATTAAATTATAAAATGAAAATAATGTCAAATAAATAAAATTTTAAAATAATAAAGTAAAATGTAAAAAAAACTTACCGTCGTCCATTCGACAAAGGCAGAATGTTGAATGAGGTCCGGTTCCTACGTTGTCCTCCAAAACTGGTGCCAGTCCTCCTCGAGGTTGTTGTCGAAACACAGCCCGTGTTGATGGAGAAAGATAGAGAAAGAGTAGATTCTCATCAGAAAGCTTAGCGGTGCCTGCATCTCAAATTGCTTAATAAAAATAATCCTATCTACCTATTCAATTACCTTAACTAATCTATATTAAATTGATAATGGTACGATAGTCGAAAGTCCCCCTTCATTCTCCTTCCTTGCACAGAGGTTCACCGACAGCCAGGGCACCGGATAGTAAACCATTGCCGTGCGGATAGTAGACTATTGCCGTGCGGATAGTAAACCATTTGCCGTCCGGAAGCCGTGCGGGTAGTAGACTATGGTCGTGCCGCATAGTAAATCATTACTGTGCAGATAGTAAACCATTGCCGTCCGGATAGTAAACCATTGCCGGTTCACCACTGGCCACCAAAGCTTACTTCTGACAAGAGACTTCGAAATTCAGAGTCAATCGGCTATCGTACCCTCAACTTACCTATTCATTACAATTAAGCCCTAGCTTACCTAAAATTGCAAAACTCAAGAGCCCAATTCATTGGCCAATCGGCACCCACCCCACCACCTACGTAATGCCTTGGGCTCCAACTTAGTAATAATAATATAAAACTTAAACCCTAAATCTATTAATGAGTATTTGTTACAACGTAGCCTTAACCTACCTATTCATTACATTATGGCCCTAGCTTACTTAAAATTACAAAACTCAAGAACCCAATTCATTGGCCTTTCGGCACCCACCCCACCACCTACGTAATGCCTTGGGCTCCAACCTAATAATAATAATGTAAAACTTAATAACTAACTTACCTCTCGATACACTTACAGCGTTTATTTAATTTAAATTACAAGATTGTTCCTAGAATTAAATTATTGCTTTTAACTACCTATGAAATTAAATTACTCTCAACCTTAGTAATAATAAATTAGAATGTGTAATGAAAATAAAATAACGCTCAAATACTAATATGTGTTTATGTATGTATTTGTGTGTGTGTGTATAATACGCTGATGCGTGTAATGTGGGTGCGAGAAAAAACAGAAGAGATAAACTTACGCTGCCTACCTATTCAACTACATTAGTGTTGGATGCTTCCTATCTATCCTACCTACAATTAAAATTATGCCTATCTAACCTACCTATATAGCTATTTAATGTAATTGTGTGTATGTGCGTGTGAGCATTCTTACTTAATGTTAAATTACAGAGAAAAACAGAGAAAAAAGAATAAAACGTATCCCAGCCAGGCGTATCTTCTTTGCCACTGAATGAACGAAGGTAGCCTGACATCTTCCACAATGAATTCCTTTGGAAGCTTCAACCTGAATAAAATGAATGAAATGGAAAAATCTTATTTATTTGACTAATTTAAATGAAAATAGAAAAACGAGCCGCGGTAAATTCCGCCGGAAAAGCCAGCCAACTGGCAAAAAAAGAACCGCAAAGAAACCGTAAAACGTACCCCAGCAGGGCGTGCATTCTTTGCCACCGAATGAACGAACGTAGCGTGACATCACAACCATTCTGATCGTCCACGATGAACTCCTCTGGAAGCTTCAACCTGGATAAATGAACCTGAAAAACCTAAATGAATGGTAAAATCTTATTTATTCAATTTAAATGAAAATAACCGCAAAGAAACCGACCGGTCGGCAAAGAAAAAAGAAAAGAAGAGCAAAAAAAGATATCTATATAGGATTTATGCTCTATATAACTCTATATAACTCTATATAACTCTATATAACTCTATATAACTCTATATAACTCTATATAACTCTATATAACTCTATATAACTCTATATAACTCTATATAACTCTATATAACTCTATATAACTCTATATAACTCTATATAACTCTATATAACTCTATATAACTCTATATAACTCTATATAACCATGCATACTACCACATTCAATCAATAAAAATCTCAATCTGATCTGATTTTTAGCTCCTCTATTTATACTCGTTTCAACCATACATTCTTATCATTTCAATCATTCGCATCAGTAAAAAACTTGTTTAATGTATATACTGCACTATTATACAGTCTTAACCACAATGCTAACCGTACTAAATTGAAGTCATCGAACGAACGCCTTCGAAACTTTCTGGTTGGCTGGTTGAATCTGCTATATTGCTTTTCATATAAACATATAATCTAATATAATATAATTTAATTATTTCTATACATGGATTCCAGTCACTTTATATATATATAATAAAAATTCATTATAAAAGCAACAGTAATCAGTGCTATATATGTAAGCACGCAGTTCAAATTTTTCGGGGAGAATTCAAAATAGTTTGAGACCACACCTTGCTTAACATCCGATTCCAAGCCGAGCCAAGCCAAGCTGAGCCAATATGCATAGATTTATAAGCGCTTTTATGTTAAAATTTTGCTCGCTATATTTATATATTTTATAAATTCATTATAAAAAACAACAGTAGACATTACTATATATGTACGCACGCAGTTCAAATTTTTCGGGGAGAATTCAAAATAGTTTGAGACCACACCTTGCTTAACATCCGATTCCAAGCCGAGCCAAGCCAAGCTGAGCCAATTTGCATAGATTTATAAGCGCTTTTATGTTAAAATTTTGCTCGCTATATTGATATATTTTATAAATTCATTATAAAAAACAACTGTAGCCATTACTATATATGTACGCACGCAGTTCAAATTTTTCGGGGAGAATTCAAAATAGTTTGAGACCACACCTTGCTTAACATCCGATTCCAAGCCGAGCCAAGCCAAGCTGAGCCAATATGCATATATTTATAAGCGCTTTTATATTAAAATTTTGCTCGCTTTTTAAACGAATATCCCAATATAATAAATTCTCCATCCTATTTTAACTTTCTTTGATGCTTTTTAATCAGTCAGGTCACAAAAATCATTATCGATATCACAATGAAATCAATTTGAATTTTTTTTTTAATTATTGATGAAATTTTTAAATTGTTGATAAAAATAACTAGTATATATAGTGTAGTAAAACGTTTAAAATTTTCTGAGAAAATTCACAATAATTTGAGACTACACCATAACACAATTGTACAATTTGAATGTGTAAATACAACATTATAAATGTATTATAACTACGTGTATATATCTATCTATTTCTTTATTTAGTTCTGCCTGTGTATATTTTGTCAAATTTATTTGATAGGAATTGAATATAACCTTCATACCGGCTGATTAACTACCATGCAGTAAAATAACTACTGTTGACACCATTTCCTCCAACGATTTCGCAACGAATTGCCCATACCATATAATTAGAATAAACTCTTTCAATCAATGTTTAAATTTTTATATTGTCATTTATTCTTTCGTTTTTGTTTCTGTACTAATTTTCGTGTCAGATACAATAATTTAGTTTATAAGTAAATTTTCATTTTCGTAGCTATACACAAACATGCCTAAATGTTGCATTTAAAAATTGCATTAATAATAAATAAATAGAAATGAGAAAATTTCTGATGCATCTTTTCACAGGTTTATTTTCAAATTAACCTCACACTAAAATAAATGTAACAACATCCCTATACTCATTGAATAGAACTATTTTGTTTTCCAATTACATATATTTTATTTAATAGACTATTATAATTTATAATGCTATCATGGATTACCATTTTATTATTAAAACCAATACTTAAGAAATGCACAAGTTTCTGTAACAGTTTATAAAATTTCAGATTTCCTCAAAATGTAAAAATGCAAAACGATTGGATTAAGTGCATCAGCCAGGAAATAAATGATTTCAAATGGCTTCCATCAAAAAACGCAAGAATATGCAGTGACCATTTCTGTAATAAAGATTATAAGGGTTATGATGGAAAAAGGAAGGTAATGCTGAATGTTTTCAAGTTAGTTATATTTATATGTCATCAGTTACACAAGGAAGCAATTCACATCATCATTGTACATTGCAACATTCTTATCTATACCAAAAATATAAAATGCATTCACCAATATTCCATGTATTTAATTAAAACTTAGAAAGGGCATAATGACATTGTGAATAATAAACCCTGCTTAGGACTGGGATCATCATCATCATACCAATCACCATTACAAGTAGAGTCAATTTTATATTAATGCTTAACAAGTTAACTAAATTGGCATAATCAAGTTTTTATATGAAATACACATCAAGTATTTAATGTAACAAATAAATTAACAGAAAAATTTCTGAAAAAGTTTAAAAAAATTAGAACATATGACTCTGATCAAAAATCATTCGCGTTGACACTGCATTTGTATGGGCATAAAGCATATGATTATCTTTGGACAAATGGCTTACATCTTCCTCACACTAGGACATTAAGAAAGTAATCTTGTCATACCTGTTCAATAATTTTAATAAGATTGTTTTAAATAACTATTCTCAATGTCATTTTATTAACACTACATTAAAAGGTGGCTACAAAACATTGATGGTATGCCTGGGGTGATTTCTACAAACCTTATTGACTAATGGTGATGGGGATTCTGGAACTGTAGGATCATGACATCCAATCTAGTCATGGATTGAGAAATCAATCCTTGATATATTTGATAACAAACATTTATTATAATATAAGAATGAAAAAAAGATGTAGGTGTAAGGCAAAATCTTACTGGAACTATTATTCTTAGCAATTTATGATTTATTTTTTTATTTATGACTTTATCCATTTTCAATGATACCGATATTTTTAATTAATATTATTCAAATTATACTCATGCCTATATAAATTAATTTGATTGTGGCTATTTCTATGCTTAATTATTTTATTTACTTGCCATAGGTATGCACAGCATTTAATAAATTAATGATAATAATTAATAACACAACATTATAAGTGCATAAAATATAATAAATTAAAAGTACAATTTTTACAAACCTCATTGGTTATGGTGATGGGGATTCTTTAAAACTGAATGATCATGATCTAACAAGTCATGGATTGATGAATCACTGGAATCACACATTATCTTTAATAAATTTAATAACAACATGTACTACAATTTAAGAATGAGGAATATTTTGTAAAACATTAAATGATAAAAAATTTAGTTTGAATCACTCATAATTAATAAATTTTAATTGAATTGCAAGTTAGCTTGGGGAGTTTGAAGCTTGAATTGAACAAATTACAAAATTGTTTATTTTATGAAATTGATTAATAAGTTGTTAATATATTTATTTAATTTAGTATATTTTTTATTCCCAGACCTAAGCATTGTAAATAAAAATTTTAAAACCAATCAAGCAATAGAATTTAGGATCTTAGGAACAAGTGCTGTTAGTCTTAGTGTAGTAGTATTATGTAGTAGTGTAGTGGTTGGTAGTTTCTAGTAGTCTAATTTGTTAATGTTCGTTAGTGTTATCTGTTATTTATTTCAATTAGTAATTAGAATCAGTAGAGTTTAGTTTTAGCTTAATTATTAGAGTTTAGTAGTTTAATTACTAATTAGTCGTCGTTTAGTGTTGTTACAGTTAATGAGTTAAGTGTTGTTGGTGGTTCACAAAAAATTTTTTTTATTTAAAATGCAAAATATACTTAACCGTCATACAGCAATATCTATCCTAAAACAGCATCTAGTACCTTTTAAAACATTTTGAAATTTTAAATAAAAGCAATTTTCCGAAATTAGTAAATATACGATCGTAACTTTTGACTTGGGCGATAAAAAATCACCCTCCAATTTCCCTCCGGAAGTAAGCTCCTTGTTCGACCGTCAAAAATGAGCGAAGGCGTTATATTTATTCTAATTATTTGCATAGATACACATACGGAGATTTTTACATGAACTTATGTAATATAAAGCTAATACCAATCAAAACATTGTATTTGGGCGATAAACCAAGTAGCGATCTGATCTGGTCTACTAATCCAATCTAATCAATACTAGCAATCATGTTGTTCTTGATCGGATTAGGATTAGGAAACGCGGACGACATCACCGTTAAAGGTTTGAAACTTCTTCAACAGTCCAGCAAGATTTATTTAGAAAATTATACATCTATCCTCAGCATTGGAAAAAATGAATTGGTAGGTAATGTGAGCTAGGGCATTAAATTTCTAAAAAAAAAATTTTAATCAAATTGAAAATTTTTAATATTTTTCTAGTCAACCATTCACTAGCTTTTATTAATTACAGTATAAGTAAATAAAAATAAATTAAAACATATATTTTATGTATATGTATACTGATTTAGCACTTGAAAAACCTTAAAATAATGCAGATAGATTCATCGCTATGATTAGGCAGGTTCATCTCATTCAGACATTTATGCATGTTGATTGTTGACTGAGTTTTCAATTCAATTTTATTTTTGTTATATGACAGAAAACAATTTATTTTCTCAGGAAAAGGTCTATGGAAGAGAATTAATATTAGCTGACAGAGAAATGGTGGAGCAAAATGCTGGTGTGATTATTTTATTCACCCACAATTTATTGCTAAAATTTTTTGCATTACAGATTTGATGTTTGTATTACATTCTATTATCATACCTTAGTATCTTTATTTAATTTTTATTCAGATGTTATATTGGATGAGGCTGAGAGGGAAGATGTATCATTTTTAGTTGTTGGCGATCCTTTTGGGTAAGCTCTTTTAAGAAGAGACATCCAAAATTTGTTTTAAAATTTACTTATATTAATGCAATTGTTGAGCAACATCGATTCAATTTAAGAGCCACGACACATTCCGACCTGTTGTTACGAGCCAAAGAAAGAAATATTAAAACTCAGATTGTCCACAACGCTTCCATCTGTAACGCTGTTGGCTGCTGTGGTCTCCAGGTTCACCTCCATTATTGAATTCCTTTAATATAATGATATTATATTTAAAGTATTCCATGTTAATTTGATCCATTCTGTGTTTGTTGATATTAATTAGCTGAATACATTTTTCATTAAGTGGTTTATATACTTTTCAATTAATATGCTAGCTGTACAAATTTGGAGAAACAGTTTCCATCGTATTTTGGGAGATTGATTGGCAGCCAGAGAGTTTTTATGACAAAATACTAGCAAATAAAGAAAGAGGCCTGCACACACTTTGCCTGCTTGACATAAAAATAAAAGAAAAATCTGTAGAGAACATTATAAAGTAACTTTTGTTTTACTTAAATTAAGCTTTGAAATATTACATAAATATCTTGTGTCATTAGGAATAGAAACATCTATGAACCAGAAAGATTCATGACAGTGAATGTCGCAATTGAGCAAATCCTTGAAATATCAAAAAGGAGGAACTGTCAAGGTACTCTCCAAGTTGCATTTTATTAAATGCATAATGTACTGCAACCAACAAGCTCCCTTTTCTTGCGATTCATTTCTCTATATAACAATGCTATTGCAACTGAAAAACTCACTATACTATGTTTCAAATACCTTCTTAAGAGTGGTGAGACAAATGAAATTTTCACATGCCCTTGCCAAGCCCTAAAGAAACAACACTAGAAATAATGCATAAATTTATGAACGATAAATTATTTAATGGATATGTTGTGATTGCATTGCAGTGATCACGCCACAGACCAAAGGTGTTGGACTTGCAAGGATTGGGGCAGACAACCAGCTTATCAAATATGGCTCACTGGAAGAATTGAAGATCTTCAACTTTGGACCCAAACTACATTCATTAGTTATAATTGGGGATTTACATCCTTTAGAACATGATTTGTTATGCAATTTTTCTTCATGACAAATATAAGATCAATGAAATCTCGCCATGTTTATCTCTTAAATATAAAACATTTTACGATTTTTATTGTTAATTTAGTAAAAAATAAGGATGATAGGATTGAAAATGTTAGCGGAGCAAATCAATATGTATCAGCATCAAACAAAAACTTGTGAACCATAGTTTGCCAGAAACAATGTTTATTATTATGAGCAAAATAATTAGTTATAACAACGTGAGAAAAAAATATTTGACACGAATTGGATGTCATTTTCCTTTTGCATGCAATGACTGGCCTTTCTCTTTGCCTCTAAGTTTGATATCTATAAATAGCAAAAAGAAATTTATGAGAAATTTTATTCCATGAAACAACTGATGATGGTTTTAAATGGCTACGTGTAAAAGAAGTAAGTTGGCAAACTGACCGAGGATTCTTTCCATCTTGCCTAGGATGACCTGGTTTGGGATAGCCTTGCCATTTTCGTACTCATTAACTATTTGAGGCTTTTCATTGATCTTCTGTTGATGTGTTACAAATTATTTATTAAAATATGCTTTAAAGAACATGTTGGAATGTGATAATAAGTCATTGAACACTTTGTTAGTGAGTGTTTTAATTCAAAAGATGCAACTAAGACAAAACATTTGGTTGGACAAACGAACAAAATATGAAATGATATGTAAGCAATAAAAAAATTCAACCAAAACTTTGAGGTCTATTAAGCCCTTCAAATCTGGTGGTTATTAAAAATAATTTAAATTTTTGCAAAATTGCAAAAAAATTTGCTGAATGAATTCACACTGCAATTGCAATACTAGATTTCAAAAGTATAAAAAAAGATATAGTACTATTGGTTGGTCACAAATTAATGCAAGACCATACGATCCAACAAGATGTTTATTCAGCAAAAAAAATATGTAATTGCTGGGAGACCCGAAAAACTATTCAAATGACAAAACATTTACATTGTTGAGCTTGAAAAAATAAATTACAGTAGCTAGGTCTTTTTGAGTTAAATTTTTAGCCTGTCTCCCTTGTTGAATGAGTCTGCCAACGTCCAATCCAACTGTCTCGTGGTGCAATTCTTCTGTCTCCCTGTCCAGTTTTGCAGTGTTCTTGTCCCCGACATGCTGCTTGTTGTGACCAGCATTGACTGTGAATATTCAACGTGTGTGAAATCTCAGTGTCTGACATGATACGCCACACATATCGAAGCATGACAATCACAATAGTAGGGAAGTCTTACATTTTTTAGAGGTTTCTATTTCTAGTCCCTGTCTTTGAGCAGCGTTAATTGCCTTTTAAAAAAATATAAATTATTACAAAAATTAGTTTTAATAATTATTCAATATCCATTGCAGACATGTCAATTGTTTTAATTATTTATTTTTATTATGACATCACGTGCTGATCATCACACATCAACAAGCATCAAGATGGATACAAAATATTTAAATTTGAAAAAAGTCCAGATTTAACAGAAAAACCAAATTAGTTCAAAATTGAGCAGCACAGCACAACACAGAAGCAAAGTAAAATTACTCTACTAACTACCCATTCATACTACTTTAATAATTAATTTAACTTAACTCAAGTAACTAATAATTGAAATTACTGAGAAATAGCTAGTTTACTGTTCAATTATAATATTTTATAAAATGCAGCCAATTAGATCAACGATTGTATTTTTTAGTAAATTTTCAATTGTTTATTAGCATTTACGACTTTAGTAAATTTAGTAAACTTTAGTATTTAGTACAAGTACAATACATCAATCGAATACTAACTTGTTGCGTTTTCAGCTGCTGGTTTGACTTGGGGGCCTTCTTGCGTATCACAGTAACTTCGTCCCAATCGCATTCAGCCATTTTTTAACTTCAAAAAATTTTGTCGACAAAGCTACTATTCTTAATTTAGTGAAAATTTAAAAAAAAAATAACTCCGATTTGCTCTTTTGTGAACAGATAAAGAAAAGGGAACACGTTTTATTATATTGAATGGTTGTTGCAAATGTATGATGAAATGAAAGCAAACGAACAAAGAACATGCAACGAAATTTTAAACTTTTAAATTATATTGCACATTGGAGGAAAACCGAAGATCAGTCCTGGCAGTTGTATGCTTATGTCCTAACTTTAACCAGAATTTCTTTATTTTATTGTAATATAAGGATAGTATTTTAATTAAATGGTCAAAAAATATGTTTGCTGTATGTTAAAAAAACAACAGCAAACCTTATAACACGAGCATGACGGATCACTGATTTTATCTTGCAGCACAGAGCACAATTTACAAATGCCACAAAGAAATTGGAGAAGAACGACAACTTCGATATTTCCTTATCTTATTTGACATTTTATAGGTTTAGCCATTCGTTTGGATGAATGAGTGTCTGGAATCAAGGCGGGAATGGCCTAGACTCCGGACCATTCCTTCCCTGGTTCATCCATCTGAGTGGAGTGAGAATAATTTTGATACCCAACTAGGGGCCGCAAATGATGAAACTTCTAAATTTTTATTAAAATTATTTTATCTTTCAATATTTATGAACATAATTATCATCTTTACCATAATTTACATTTTTATTACAATTAAATTAGTCATCAGATCCAACCTAGCTAAAAAGAATTTCGCAAATGTTCAGTATCTATTATAAATCTAGATCAGGCTACCATAGATTGTAGTAAGGCTATTACTGAAGCTTCAAATAAAACTTCTACTGCTACTACCTAAAAGAATAACTCGGTTATTTCACAACTTAAGTTCATTAATCTATATAAGCAAAATGTCGACCCATTCACAAAACGTCATTGCGCAATTCCATTCTATTTCAAAATAATTACGTACATGATTAGAGCACGCTATGGATGAGATTTTAGATCTGAAGCTTTAATTTGGGCGTTGATTTCTTTAAAAATTATACAGTAACCTTTTAATTTATCAATTAATTAATCAATTAATTAATTAATTAATTAATCAGATGTCAAGTTCAAAATTTGTGTTACAATAGCAAATAAAAAGAATGCAAGAAACTGTAATTACATTCCTTTTTCGAAATTAAAACGAAACCAATCTTTCAACAAACAACCACCAATCAATCAATCAAACAACCAACCAACCAACCAATTGAGTGAATTGTTGAATGAATATCTGAAATAATAACTTGAAGAGAAAGAGAAAAAATGAAGTAAGTCTTGTTATGCTGAAACATACAAGATTGAATGAAATGTATCAATCAGTCAATCAATCAATCATTCAATCAATTGATCAATTTATTAATCAATCAATCAATCAATTAATTAACATCAATTAATCAATCAATTAACATCAACCAATCAACCTATTAGCATCAAGCAATCTATTAACATCAATCAACATGTTGAAACTGTGGCGCATATATTTTATTCACCACACACACACACACACACACACACACACACACACACACACACACACACACACACACACACACACACTCAGAAAATAGCATACGTGCAAGCAGCGCTGCATGTAATGTACGTAAATGGAATAAGACATCTAAACAGGGAGTGAGATGTTTAAAAATTAATCTTTGATTTAATCAACAAATCAACCAATCAATTGATCAATCATTTATTTGTTTGTTCACTTATTAACTAACCATTCAATCATTCATTCAACTAATCAATCGATCGATCAATTTATCAGTCAATCAATCAATCGATCGATCAATCAATCAATCGATCGATCAATCAATCATTTTTTTGTTGGTTCGTTTATTAACTAACCATTCATTCCATTCATTCATTCATTCAACCAATCAATCAATCAATCAATTATTCCTATGTTCATTCATTTATTAACTAACCGCTCATTCAAACATTCGACCCAACAGTCAGAAAAAATACGTCATAAATTTTTACAGATAGGTGTGTTCATGAGATAACATTAATAAAAATTATCATAAAAAAATATACATACGCCAATATATATAAATATAAATGTGAGTGCGCGAGTGTGCGCGTGTTTGTATACATGTGTTTGTTTGTGTGGTGTGTGTTAGAGCAAACACAATACAAAGCGAAAAGGGCAAAAACATTAAAAATCCGAATGAGGAATTTTGAAAAGAAAAAAAAACACCAACCACTGGCATTAAAGCATCGGCGATTACTACATCAATCAGTAACAGTAGGGATAATTTATAATGAAAATAAGGAGAACTCCACATGTGACAAGATAACGGAACATTATTGGAATACATTAAATGGTGACAAAGACACAAGAAATCAACAAAACTATACACACACATATATAGTACACACACACACGCACACACACAAACTAACAAACACACACACACAAATACATATAATATACACAACACACACGCATGCGTTAGTGCGTGTACGATGTACATACAACAGTCTAGATTAATTAGTTGCCTGATTATTAGCTAAGGTGATGTTAGTTGTATCGCTGTATTAATACGAAAATATTTTCTATGACCAAATAACACAAATAATTATTTATAAAATATAATATTGGAAAAGTAAAATTGTATGTGCTTGTGCGTGTGTTTCTGTTTCTATGTGTTTCTGTTCTCTCTCTCTCTCTCTCTCTCTCTCTCTCTCTCTCTCTCTCTCTCTCTCTCTCTCTCTCTCTCTGTGACTAAAGGCGCACAAAATAAATAAAATATAATTATAATCATCTAGATTTACGTAGCGCCATTTGCTACGTACATTAACTACGGTTAAAATACATTTATATATAACAACATGATTAATAATAATGACAGTAAATTAATTTATAAATCAATAACAAAATGTAACAAAAATAACGCAATGTTCACAGTCAATTAGCTTTAGAACATAGTACTAGGAACACCTGTAATCTTCATTCTCACTAATTTTTCGTTCAAATTAGTCAAACTTAGGTGAATTAATAAGTCTTTACCATCAAAAAGTTTTCCTGTGTGTGTGTGTGTGTATGTGTGTATGATATGCACGAGTGTATGTGTGTGTGTGTCTAAACGTGTACGTGCATGTCTGCTTATGTCAGTGTGTTTGCATTTTACTAACATACAAATTATTACATAACGATGGTCGTTAAACTTTGCGAATGTAATAATGAAATATTAAATTAACCAGTGTAGAAATATAAAATTGTTAAATTACAATAAAACTGGTGTAGGTGTTTATTGTTTGTATTTATATGCATATATATATAAATATATATATATATATATTTATTTATATATATATATATTTATAACATCGGAGTGTCACAGTTAAGAATACGATTGACGTCAAAAAGAGCTTAAACGTCATCATCGAAAAATAAAGTGAAAAGCCAAAAAATAGCTAAAAAATAGCCAAAAAATAAAGAAAGAATAATTAAATTAGAAACATCAGTGATCGCTCCTACACACACACACACACACACACACACACACACACACACACACACACACACACACACACACACACACACACAACACACACAACACACACACACACTTTCTCTCTCTCTCTCTCTCTCACACACACACACACATACAGTAACACAAACATAAAAACACACACACACACAAACCAATAAAAATTTCCACCAATATTTACAACTGAAAATAATATAAATAGATTTTTAAAAAATTAAAAAAAGTTTGTTAGTCTAGTAATGATTAGATTATCAAATGGCGAATTATATGAAAATTTTCATAGTACACACAACTTACACAGAGAGAGAAAGAGAGAGAGAGAGAGAGGGGGGGCGGAGAGAGAGAGAGAAAGAGGGGAGAGGAGAGAGAGAGGAAAAGAGAGAGAGGAAAAGAGACCATATTAAGAACCTCATGTTACAATAAATCTTCTAATATATCCGATACACATATGCAGTATGCTTACATACAATAATATACTTACATACGCACAAACAGACACACATATATATATTTTTACAATATTCTATAAATTCTACCGAATGTTTGGCGTTAATATGTTAACAACGAAAACAAAGAAGTAGTAAAAACTAGCACCGTAAAAGTTGACAAAGAAGAATATGATGCTATCGATGAAGAAAAGGAGACCAAAGAAGATGACCAGCCAATAAAGAAACCTGACACCTAATTCGCTTCAAAGTTCAATTTTACAACACCAAAGTTAATTTTTACAACGTCAAAGTTCATCTTGACAACGTCAATATTTCCCTATATATACAGCAAGGAGCACTGATGATGATTCATTCGGAATCGAAATATGGCCTTATTTGCAGCATGAATTCGAAAACTAAGTTTATTTTGAATTTTAATAAACTAAACGTTCACCAAAAAACTTTAGTGAGAAAAATCGAAAAAACGAACTATGAACATATTAACGCCAAACATTCGGTAGAATTTATAAAATATTATAAAAATTATGGTCTATTACCAACACACATATATATATATATATATATATATATATATATACATACACACATACATACATAAATACCAAAAATCATCGATAAACTTTCAATCATACACCAGTTTATTTTCTACAATATGTAGTTTAGTCATAATAAAATTGTAAAATTAGTCAGCATTAAGATGGGGTATGTAAAAAATTAACTTGTTCGCAATACACGCATGTATACGATGGTAAACGTACAGACGTAAGCATACACACATACATATGCATACATATACACAAACAAACACACATACAAACATATTTATACTGTAATACAAAAAGCAGCATTTCAAATTGATAAAGTTAAACCAAAATGCACATATATATGTATATGAACAAGAATATATATATAAAGTGAAGTGATACAACGGTGAATATTTGTATATATGGGTGTGTATATATATATACATGTGTGTGTGTGTGTGTGTGTGTGTGTGTGTGTGTGTGTGTGTGTGTTTATCCAGATAAAGTGAAAAAGAGAGTAATAATAATAATAATAATAATAATAACGCACCACACAAACACAAAAGAAACTTAGAAAATATAAGAAACATCTCAATAAGTAAGTTTGTGAACATCGAAAAAAATAATTTTAATACAACAAATATATTATAAATTCTCCGCTTAAAATATTTAATATTTACATCATATATATATTATATATATATATATATCATATATATATATATACACACACATATATATATATATATATATATATATATATATATATATATACATATATTTACAATATTCTATAAATTCTACCATAAATTCTACCGAATGTTTGGCGTTAATATGTTTGTAGTTCGTTTTTTCAATTTTTCTCACTAAAGTTTTTTGGTGAACGTTTAGTTTATTAAATCAAAATA